ATTGTAAAATATAGATTTGATAAGATCGTTCTATCTACAAGACTATATTATATAGCTCCAATCTTGTGACATGTAAGATGACTCGAAAAAAATGATAAATACCTGCCTGAGAACGTCTTTTTATGATATCAGTCTAAAATAATTGTATTATCTTTATTGATGACCATGAATAGATCCAGAAAATTCAAACAATGGTGTTCCTCGTATTCAATTGTGAATTTAAGTTAATCCATGTTAATTATTAAATAAATTTAAAATATAAAGATGCCTTATTCTTAGATGCAATCATAAAACATCGTCAATCTAAAATAAGCGAAAATCAAGAGAATTCAACACCAAACCTTTCATCACAATATTAGATATAATAGGGGAACCCATAGGTATGCCAAATGTTTGTTTATAAATAATTCCATTAAACGTGAAATACGTAGATGTCAAGACAAATTTAACTGCATTAATAAATTTATCTTTAAAGATATTCATGACACATTAGAAGTCCCTTTTATTTAATTCATTTAACAAGATCTAGCGGGATTTGGTGAACAGAGAAGTTACATCCAATCATTTTTATTGTATCAATTGTCATCCAGCTAATTTATTGTGAAATTCGAAACTATTTTTTATTTAACTCTTTGCAGGAGGCATGTTGTCGGAAATGATATATCTAGAGACACGGTAGTATCTCGGCGCTAAGCCAAACGCAGCGACACTGCTATGGTTATTTTACGCGAGCCGGCGAGTTGTGACGGATTATTGGATAAGGGCTAAATCGATCAGGTTCTAAGTGTGCCCAATCGATTGCATCCTCTCGGAATATGTAATGAAAGTGTTTTTTGTTTTTTCTCTATGTACCCTACAAAGAGATATTGCGATGTAAAATCTGAATCTTTGATATTTCGTTTTGTCATTATTATTAACATCATCGATCAAAGGAGAAACATTTCGTTTTTTTAATAATAGACGACTTTTGATCTATCTAATCAACGTTGGCACTGCCATTATTAAAATCAAGGCCAATAGAGATTATTCTTCTTATTTTCATTTTTCACTAAAAATTCATTTTTATGTAAAAATGAAAATAAGAGATATAACCTCCATTGGTCTTGATAAATATTATTCAGAATATGATCCTAAACAATATTCATGAAGTTTTAGCGTTGGTCAGATATTTTGCATAATGCCAATGCTGACGGTACTGTAACTCTCAAGCTCTATAACTCGAAAAGTACTTAATAAAAAATAACTATTATAGTATTTTAAAAAACTCTTGACATCAGTTATTAGATTCTAGCATCAAAAATAGGGTGTTCTATTTAAAAAAGTCGATGCAACCTAATTTGATCTCAGCGATATCACCCAAAGTCAAACTGATAAGATCGGTAAATAAATCTTTTTAAACCTTACAACTTTTGTCTAAAACATTTTTCTATAAAACTTATATTTTCTAAGTTATTAGGTGTACAACTTTGTTTCCGCCGTTTTCCTATAGATGGCTTTAGCGGTAAGTGGTGGTCGAAATAAATAGATCATAGACGTCATATAATAAACTTGGGCATCTGTCAACATAACCCCATAGAAATATTAGTCGATTTGTGTCTGCATCATAAAGTTATTCTCGATTGAAAATGTCAGTTTACGAGCCAAATTCTCGTCATTTGCGGGAGGTTTTAATTTTTTGCAATATGAAGAAATCTGCGGCTCATCGAATGCTCTCAAATACTTATGGTGAGGCCACTATTAGTGAATGAAGAAAGAACGTGTCGTGAGTGATTTCAACGCTTCAAGAACGGTGATTTTGACGTCCAAGGTCATGCTCTGTATTTGGTGGGACCAGCTCGGCGTAGTGTATTATGAATTGTTAAAACCGACTGAAACAGCACACAGGCGATCGGTATCGAATGCAATTGATGCGTTTGAGCCGAGCATTGAAAGACAAACGGCCGCAATACAACGAGAGACACGATAAAGTGATTTTGCAGCATGACAATGCTCGATCCCATGTTGCGAAAGTGATCAAGACATACTTGGAAACGTTGAAATGGGAAGTCCTACCCCACCCGCCGTATTCTCCAGACGTTGCTGCCTCTGACTATCACTTGTTTCGATCAATGGCACACGGCCTGGCTGACTAGCACTTCCGGTCTTATGAAGAAGTGAAAAATTGGATCGATTCGTGGATAGCCTCAAAAGATGACCAGTTTTTTCGACGCGGGATTCGTACGCTACCCGAAAGATGGGAGAAAGTAGTGGCCAGCGATGGACAATACTTTGAATCATAAATGTATAACCAGTTTTTTACAATAAAGCCTCGAATTTCGGAAAAAACGGCGGAAGCAAAGTTGTACACCTAATGTTAAGAGATATCGACTTTTTCTCCCCATCCAAGAGGGGGGGATAATACATATTATTCTAAATTATTAGCATATTTTATACAGAAAGATATTTCTCTATTTAATTATAAAGAATTAATTAATTTTTTACATATCTATCATATTTTTATATCTTTCATATATATATATATATATATATATGTGTAGAAAGAGAGAGAGAGAGAGAGAGAGAGAGAGAGAGACTTATCAAATCATCTATGTAATGTATTTATGTACATTGTTAAATTTATTTATATAAGACAAATAGACCGAGTCAAAAAATCCTCTATCATTTTACAATTTTCGCTGTAATTAACGAGATTTTTAGCTTGCCGAACAAACAGATAAAATCGATGTATAAGACAACTTTAAGATATCTTTTAGAATTCTTTATGAAATATCTGAAAGATATTTCTTACAGAACTCTTAAAGATATCTTAAAGCTGTTTTATATATTTTAGATTTTAGACATTTCGCTTATTAAATAACTAAAAAAATTAAAAATTGCAAAATGATAGACTTTTTATCTTGACAGTTTGTCTGCTCTATCTGTTCACAAGAGGCAAGAGGTATGTCAAAAAGTTTGGAATACCTTTATAGACTATATAGACTATATTTTTACAATATAATTCTCGAGGTGATATTAATGTTATCATACGAATGTCATTAATATTTCGACGTATGCCATCATATTGCTGTGAATTTGCAGCTTGTCGCAGCTTGTCGACTTGATGACAACAAAATGCTGTTATGTTGCAGAAATTAATTCATTGTAGAAATATACATACTAGTGTTAATAAGTTGCCATCAATATGCTGTAATCAGATGTCGAATTTATAGTACCTAAGACGCACAATGACGAAGAACCTTGACTCGAATTTCTAGAAATTGATTGCTTCAACGATTGTCAGCAACATGATAGCAATCTCAGAAGCATTTGGCTATCTGGAAATATATATATTACATAGAGTTAGGAAAGTTACTATAAAAGTTCCTTATAAATTACTTTTTAGGTTACTTTATCTTAAGTCGATCGGCACAAACGACTTCTTGGTTGCATTGTATTTTCGCTTAGACACATCAAATATCACCAAAACATAAAATAATTTGTTATATTTAAAGATTATGTGTTTCGCGGATTTTCTCCGTGTCCAGATCCATTCTTGGAATGTCAATGTTTCGTGAACCTTGCAGTCATCAGGACAAGGAGCAACCTAATTCTGAGCTGTCCTCCGGGCTGCTCCTTTTATACAATATTACACTACTTATTGGAGTAGTGGAGAAAAAGAATTGTGGATGGAGGGAGCTAAACGGGGGAAATTGATCAGTCTTCAATAACCGGGAGAATGGTTTTCCAAATTTTATTTAGGTTGCCATTATCTCTATTTAGATTGTTAGGGTGTTTTTGTATCTTTACAGCTTTTCTACACTTGCAAAGTATAACGTAATGTTGGCTATTGTGGTCGTTTTGTCAAATAATATTTGATGTCCTATTTCGATGTTGTGGTCTGATAATACTAACTGCATAGCATGTTTTAGCCTGACATCACGTTGGTATTCTTTTATCCGTAGGTTGACCATTTTCCCGGTTTCTCCAATGTATACTTGCCCGCAGGAAGAAAGTATTTTATATACCTTGCTCCTGCGGAGCTGAGTGGAAGTCTTTGATCTTTAGGATTTCTTAAGATTTGTCCTATCTTTTTGGGTGTTTTGAAGATAATTCAGATATTGTATTTGTTTAATATCCTATCAATTCGATCTGTTGTTTCTTTAACATATAGGAGAATGGATAGGATCCTTTTGTTTACATGTTTGATTGTTTTGATTATGTCTTATTTATCATGCCCGTTTTTCTATAAGGACCAGTTTTCTATAGTTTTAGATGGTTCTGTCTATAGATGTTCTTTATCAAAAATGAAAATTCTATGTACAAGTGAGTTGATTGCAGACAGCAGTTTTTATGCTGGATGGTAGCGACTCAGCATGTAGGTATCTATCTGAATGTGTTGGTTTTCTGTACACTTGATGGCTTAAGGTACCATTAGCTTTCTTAGAGACTATTTAGAAGAATATCTAGGAAGGGGAGTTTTCCATTTTCCTCTATGACTATAGTGAAATGAATATTTAGATGTTGATTGTTGAGGAAAATAAGGAATTTACGGATTCTGTCATGTCTCCATATCACAAATGTGTTATCTAATATTCATAACGATGTATTCATAACGAAATCAAATTTCTGGTTTTTTGGGTGTTTTTTCGAGAGCCTCTTTCTCAAAACGCTCCATGAAGAATGTTGGCGATTACAGAAAAAATAGGAGAGCTCATGCTGCTCCTGAAATTTGTTCATAAAATTGTTATATAGGAGAAGTATATATTGTTATATAGGAGAAGTCTATAGGAGAAATAAGAAGTTAAGCAGTGCTCTATTAGCGGGATGAAGTCGGAGAGGGCTTCATGTGAGGCCTTTATTATGTTTAATGTATCTTTTATTGGAACTTGTGTGAAAAGGGATTTTACATTGAAACTTATACGTAGGTTTGTGGAGCGTAATCGAAATTTTTGGATCTTTTGTATAAAGTCCGTTGAGTTGGTTATGTATGATTCGGATTTTCCAATGAGGGATTATAATGTTTATGCTAAGAAGCAGGATAAGTTGTATGTCAGGGAGTGTATAGCGCTGACAATCAGTCTGAAAGGGATGTTTTGTTTGTATATTTTTGATAGTCCGTATAGTCTTGGTGGAAAAGGATTCATAAGTATTAATGTTGATTTGGTTTTACTAGAAATATTGCTTTTTTTCACTAGGATCTTGTTTTGTGCGATTATATTAGTTGGATTTTTATCAAGTTTTTTGTATGCTTTGTCCGAAAGAAGGTTCTTCATCTTTTTCTTATAATCTGATGTGTTCATGACGACTACAGTCGTGTTGCCTTTGTCGACTGGAAGCACGATGATGTCTGTGTCTCTGTAAGGTCTTGAAGGGCCAATCGTTTTCATCTAGTGATATTTGGTGAAGGGGGTTTGAAAAGAATATTGGTTACTTGTGGATATTACCTGCTTGTTTTGATGGAAGTCGGTTGACTCTATTTGGCTGATAATCTCTTCCTGTGGAATCTTTCTAAGTGCCATTGTGAAGTTAGGACCTTTGGCAAGCGCAAATATAATGTCTTGAGACAGGTCTTTGTTGGATAGGTTCTTGACATTAAATAAAGAGGGTTGTAGATTTTTGTGAGGGACAAGCTTTATGTATTTTTGATGATTTCTATCTTTCAGAGGATTGTATGTGAGCTCCATGGCTTGTTCGTATGTAATACAATCTAGGGTTTACAGATATCATGCTGCAACGTGGCGGATAGGAACAGATGGAGTTTAATTTAGGTTTTATGGGAGCCTTGAACTATTTGTGATTTAGTGAAATGGATGCGTTCTTTGATGAGGATGAAGCTGGTTTATTGAAGGATATTTTTGAATTGTGAGTTCCTAGGTAGTTCTTGAATTGTAGAAATTTTGGAATGCTGTTATCCTTGCAGCGTTTTAGGAATGCCAGGTTTGATAATTTCTTGGCTAGGAAAGACCTGAGCTGAAGACCTTGCTGAAAGTATTTACTTTAGCAAGGATACTCTCCCCGTAGAGATATTTGAAAATATTCTTGAGGCTTCCACAAGTGCGTTCTATGTAGATTATGCATTTCACGGGTTTCTTCCGTGTCCAAATTCTTGAAATGCCAACGTTTCGTGAACTTTGCAGTCACCAGGGCAAGGAGCAGCCTGATACTGAGCTGTTCCTTTTATATTACGCTACTTGTTGGAATGGTGGAAAGAAGAGAATTGTGGATGGGGGGATAGGAGAGATGAGGGAAATTGATCGGTCTTCAATTTGTTATATTGTATATTTATCTAACTTCAGTACAGTTTCTAGAAAGTGATTAAAGCACATCAAATAGTATAATTTGTGCTCGCACAAGCGATAAATGTTCTGCACTCGGGCTTAGAGATAAATGCCCTGATTCGCAGCAGTGTCTTGAGGAGATTATCCTGAGCCGCGATGGCGCGAAGGCAAACCTTGAGTCTTGAGTTACTTAGTAGCGACATCTTAAGTATTCACTTCTGATGAAAATTTTTCTTATAATTAATTTTTCTTATACTTTTTATATGAAACAATTGAAACTGAATTTTTCAGAAATATTCGAAAAGTTCACATCTTCTCTCAGAATTTTTCATACAAGTGAATTCTAAAATATTCTGAAATTTTTCGTTCTATAATTTTGAAAAAATATTTTTTAATTTTTTTATATTTTATAATATATCATCAGAAATTATACTTACAATAAGCTTAAAAATCTTACGATATTATAATTAACATATATGGAAAATTCTGAGAAAAGATGTAGATTTTCTGAAAAGTGTTCCAATTCATATATAAAAAATGAGAGACAGTTATAAAATTATATAGAAATTCTGAAAAATTATATGAAAGATTCTGAGAAAAATAGAAATTCTGAAAAATTATATGAAAGATTCTGAGAAAAACCAGAGCTGAGCCACGTTCTTCCAGTACTTATACACGACTAACTTAGACTGGATGGGTTCTGGGGATTTCCTCGACACTTTGAGAAGATCACCCAGATCGAGTAAGATGACGACTCTGGCCCGCCTATTGCCCAATCTCGATGATCCAGAAGGTTAGGCGTCTATATGCGAATGCGGCTCTATCGATGCTTCTCTACGGAACAGTGTGGGCACAGGAAATGGAAACCAATGGGCGCCTCGTCAACTCGGTTCAACAACACCTTACTTTGAATAATCCGAGCCTACAGAACCGTATCGGCCGGAACAGACTTGGCTCCCGTGGATCTTATGGCCACCAAGCACTCCGCAGAGTGCCGGAACGTCAAAAAGGTCTGGTCCAGAGTACCTGGAGGAGTCGTTCCGACATCATGAAAAAACATGAGAAAGGGAAGAATCTGAGGAGCTGGAAGAAACGGCTCCTCAATACCTCCACATACGATCGTGAAACCGTCGAGACCATCTGAGAGCTTGAGTAGATAAGAGTCAAGGAGAGTTAATCTTTTATACGATGCAGATCTTCGCAGAGTTACTTCGCTACCTGCACCAAATAGGAAAAGAGCAGTCTGTTTCCACTACGGGAGATATGTGGTCACGGCGCGCCACACCCTCAAATACATAGCGTCAGATGAAGAGCGCCGTGAATGACGGAAGTCATTGGGCGGGATCTCTCGCTCCTCGCAGTAGTTCGCAGAATGATGAGGAGAGGCTGGAAAGTGGACTTCTGCACAAAAGTAATGGTACAGAAGGAAGAGACTTAGGCGAGAGGAGATGGACCCCTTACCAAGTTAAGATAAATACGTCGACCCTCTAATTCGGAGGCGGAAGCGCCTCGCACTTCGGTGAGAATAGGTCGGGGCGGGAGAGCAGTCCCTCGAGAAAGCGGGAGAAATGCGATCTTATCCCGTCATATAAAGAGATCAAAATTGGCGAGGAGATGGCGCACTGCACCAGGCCCGGGGGGATCGGAAACATACCTTAGGTGATCTCCAATCCCCCCCTCCCCCCTCCTCCATACCGGTGGCCAGCGTCAGGCCACCGTGGAGTGGGTCTGAATACGGCATCCTTACTGAGATACAGGTGAAAAACTGAGATACAGACAGCGAAAAGGTGAATAGATAATTATCATTCTGTCTTTATGAAGCACTTTCTGAATTTTCGATAAAGACAGAATGATGATTATCTGTTCGCTATCATCTGTATTCTATCAATTTGCAGTATTTAGACACGACAGGATCGACGCAACACTACACAAAAGCATACAAAAGCCAACAAAGCCAACGCAATGTAATGAGCACAACGTAGCCAAACGTAACATATTGGGTATGGGAAAAAGTTCGTGGCGATTTTTTAGTAAAATTAAAGTGTTTTTCTTAGAGTATTGAAATCAATTTATTTAATAACTAAATATACTCCATTATTTTCTATAATATTTTGCCATTTTTGGGGCAGAGTTCCAATTCTATCGCGATAGAGCTTCTGTGGTTTCTGATCAAAAAACTGTTTCAAGTGATTTTCACAGGCCTCTTTTGAAGCTAGCTTTACATCATTAAGAGAGTTCTGCAGAGACCTAAACAAATGATAGTCTAAGGGTACTATGTCAGGACTATACGGTGAATGCATTAAAACTTCCCAGCCAAGCTCTCGCAATTTTTGCCGAGTCATCAAAGATGTGTGTGGTCGAGCGTTGTCGTGATGGAAGACGACACCTCTCCTATTGATTAATTCTGGCCGCTTCCTCTCAATTGCTTGTTGTAATCTCTGCAATTGTTCATAGTAGAGTTCGGAATTAATTGTTTGATTGGACGATTCCCTTCCAATTCCACCACGCACGCGCGCACGCACGCGCGCACGCACGCACGCACGCACACACACACACACACACACACACACACAACATCATCTTCTTCCTCGTCAATCCAGGTTTTGCGATTGCTTGCGCCTTCTCTCCTTTCTTTATCCACAATTTTTTTCTAGTTGGATTGTCGTAGGTGATCCATTTTTCATCACCAGTTATCATTCTCTTCAGAAATGACTCAATTTCATTCCGTTTCAGTAGCGTATCACAAATGTTAATTCGATCCATCATGTTCCTAACACTCAATTCGTGAGGAACCGCAACATCGAGCTTCTTTTTGTATCCAGCTTTGTGTAAATGATTTAAAACTGTTTTATGTGGTCGATGCCTAGTTCTCTGGCAATCTCCACAGTGCTCACATGCTTATCACGCTCGACTTTTACCATGATTTCATCGGACTTTTCAGTGATTGGTTAACCGGAGTGAGGTTCATCTTTCACATCAAAATTTCCAGCACGAAGGCGAGCGAATCATTTCCGTGCTGCTGATTTTGATAGAGTATCTTCACCGTAAATAGATTTTCAACTACCAATCATTGTACACCAAGATTTATACATGCAATAACGTAACGATAACGTTAAAATTATATAGTATACAATAGACTAATTCTGTAACTTTTAACAGCAATATCATTACTTGCCGTCGTGAAATCTTTTATATATACTTATACTAAAATAATAAAGACAATATTGCGATTATAAATTACAGAATAGACCTAAAGTCATTAACTTAGTCTAATTTTAAATGGATGCTTAATTTGAAACGGCTAAACTTATTCATAATTCAACGAAAATTATAATTCAAAATAATATGAATACGATGCTTACGAGTTTCAAAGAAATCGTTTATAAAAATATAAAAGAAAAATTTGATAAAGAAGAAAGAAATTCTTAAATTAAATAAATTAGAATTAAAAGTTATACTCTTAGCCTATGCCAATAATTTAAAAAAATGTATAATAATTGGTTACAATTCTATGATTTTATTTAGTTTCTTCGATTTATATTTTTCATGATGCGATACAGATGCTGCATGAAAAATAGTGCACAGAGATTAAAATCTACAGTTTTTAACAGAGCGATTAAAAATTATTATATAATTATAAAACAAATGATAACGGCTAATGATAATAATAATAATACAGGATCTTGATTATTTCTATCTAATATTAATGTTCGAAATGTTTCTGTCAACGCTAATAATAAAGATAATGTTGTTTGTGATAAATTGATAAAATGGAATCTTGGAAATTATATTGAAATATTTGCCAGTAAGTGTAATTTCCTTTATATTTATTATCATTTATATTAGGTGTAGCAAAAAAAATCCATTATTTTTCCATTCAATTTTATGCAAAAATAATGGATTTCTTTTTACTAATACTATTTATATGTAAAAATTATGTTTAGTCACTTGCTATTTATTTTTTTTTCTGAATATTTTGTATAAAAATCAATGAAATAATAATAAACACAAAAATTCAAAAAAATAACTTTCCTCTCTTTCATGCGTAGTTTATATTGTTTGCGTACTAAATATTGTACTAATTTATATATTTACATTACATCTTTCTATTTTTATAAAATAAATAAATCAAATTTTATGCTTAATCCTAACGAAGTAACAAATGAAAGATTAATTTAAAAATCACTGGAAGATTATTATATTTATCCCGTCTAGAGACAAATTAAAATAATCCGTGAGCCTCACATTATAATAATTCTGTTTAAAAAAACTTAAAAAATAATTGTTTTTCTATCTTTTGATTCGCATTTTTTTTGCGCGTGATATCGCGCAGCGATATTTCAATATATTTTAATATAAGGATGAATAATTATCAAAATGAATTTTGAAAAATTTTATTTTCATAT